ATTGGAACTGAACGACCTCACTGCACAACTACAACCAGTGATTGTCCTTTGAGGAAAGTTTCAGTAAGATTGCCCCAGCCATCTCCGAGAAACAGCCTGGATAAAAAAAACATGCGTACAATATCAATATGTCGTCCCCGACTTCGTTCGGGGCGACATAATAACTAGATACGATCTCGTTGCGAGCAACGAGTGGGTCTTCCGTCCGATTCTTGATGAGATGAGATAAGATTTTGATTGAGATTTTCAATCTTAAATAATGATAAAGATTGTGAAGAAGAACGATTTTGCCTCCATAATCTGTAAAAAAGACATTGAATATTAAAGACTTTAAAAATCGATTTTTGGCCCCTCAAGGCCTCTAATATTAGGGATCAACCCTTTTTTTCTTCATATCATCTTAAAGCTCTCAAGATTCTGATCACTTTTTGTTCAACAACTATTCAGAGATTCCTTTCCGTTTTCGAGTTATTTGCAAAAGAAATATTTAGGGGCCAACCCTTCAACTCCCTAAGAGGGACGTGTAGTGAAAAATGAAAGGTTGCATATTGTTCAGAACATGATTTTGAACATCTTTTGTTCAATATTACTTATCAAAATATTTCTCCCAATCGAGATGTAAAGCGTCAAAGATTTAGCATTCTGGCCCCTTGTGGCCCCTAATTATGTACCATACGACATAAAAATCATAATATATAGTTGTAAATGGTTGAGATAAACATCTTTGCTTCAGTAATGTATTACAAAATATTAACTGAGAAGTAGTTATCGATTAAAGACTTTTGGCCCTTCACGGCCCCTAATTGAAGTGCCCAGCCCCTTTTTCTTGATTTCATCGTAAAGCTCTTATGATTTTGAACACTTTTTGTTCAACAACTATTCAGAGATTCATTTTCGTTTTTGAGTTATTTGCAAAAGAAATATTTAGGGGCCAACCCTTCAACTCCCTAACAGGGACATTTAACGAAAAATGAAAGGTTGCATATTGTTCAGAACATTATTTTGAACATCTTTTGTTCAATATTACTTATCAAAATATTTCTCCCAATCGAGATATAAAGCGTCAAAGATTTAGCATTCTGGCCCCGTGTGGCCCCTAATTATATAGCATACGACAGGAAAATGTTAATATATAGGTGAAGATTGTTAAGATAAACATTTTTGCTTCAGTAATGGTTAACAAAAAATTGACTGCTAAAAAGTTATTGAAGAAAGACTTTTGGCCCCTTTCAGCCCTTAATGTGATGAGTCAGCACTTTTTTCTTGATATCATATGAAAGATCTTGTAGTTCTACACAAATATTGTTCAATATGTTTTGACAAAATAGTTATACTTTTAAAGATGCAAAGCAAAATGTCTCAAAAATCAGTCAAGATTCGTGTCCTAAATTTCGACCCCTACCGAGCTTCCATACTAGGCACTTCCAGAAGATTTGAAAGTATAGGTACAAAACTACAAGGTGTCAACTATATTCGCTAAAAATTTCGGCACTCTAACTTTTGCCGTTTTGGAGTTTTTGTCCGGACAAAATGGTCACTAAAATGCGATTAAAGGGCGATAATTCCCGACCGGAAGTGAATTTTCAAAAATTAAGAAAAATGTATCAAGTTCATATCATGATACATCATCCCTGAAAATTTTATATAAATCCGTCCAAGCATCTCTGAGAAATCGTCTGCACAAAAATAAGGACAGAAAAAAATAATAATAATAAAAGTGAAAAAGAAACAATAGAATAATTAAAGGGTCTTCCGTTGGAGACGGAAGACCCTAATAAAGGGGAAAAAGAAACCGAAGAATAATAGAAGGGTCTTCCGCTGAAGACGGAAGACCCTAATAATAATAATAAAGGTAAAAAAGAAACCGAAGAATAATAGAAGGGTCTTCCGCTGAAGACGGAAGACCCTAATAAATAAATATAGTTTTGAAACCCAGTTGGATTATATAGAAAATAATTATAAATGCATCGCAAATTTAATCTAATAAAAATTTAATTTTCTGTGTTTTTTAATTAGATTTCTTTTAAGTGTGTGAGAAAGAATGAAAAAGAGGGGCCAGGCTGATCTGAGGGTGTCTTCTGAGTCTACATGTTGGGTTAACATTGCGTAACTGACTGCTAGTGATATCCGGCAGGTGCCCGTCTGTATATATATTGAAGTGACACCTATTGTCTTGTTTCTCGCTACTGCATTGCGCAATTCACAGAGCTTCCATTTGTGTAGTACTTCATAGAGGTTCCGTTACCAGTCGGCACCAGTGTAGTACGCCAGTGTAGTACTTCAAAGCGCTGCCGTTTGTGTACAATATTCATATTAATATTCATGAATACGGTGCTGTGTTTGACTAAAAGTCTTCTTTTAATTAAAAAATACATTGCATGTACACAATTATTTACTAAATAATTATTTCCGATTAATTCTTTTTAATAAATAAAATAAAAAAAGAGTTCACAGTATGGCTTGTCAAGAGTTTTTATATATATATATATATATATAAATCTGATGGTAGTAGTTATTTTTCAAAATGAAAGGAAGATAAAAGTCACATTTTAAGTTGAACATAAGTGAGTAATTCATTTTCCTGTAAACGGGTATCAATATTTATAAAAGGCAGTGAGTCTACTGAATCATTCGTGACAATTATTATTGCTGTACACTAACCGATCGGCAGTAGGACATTATCACAGCGAATAAATATTGCAGCGTAATTAGAACCAGTAAAAATAAATAAAAGATAGATTTTTTTTAGACGGAGTTCAAGTTTATTTTCATTTAATGAATTTGATGTCTTTAAGAAAACATATGACAATGATAAATTCCCGGTACATGTGAATTAAGCGATGAACATAATTATGATTTAAGTGAACTTGCTATCAGTCTGATTGACAGACAACCGTCCCCCCCCAAAAAAAAAGATAATTGCATTATTAGATATCATATTATAATTCTCAGTAACTACATGACTGTTATCAAATTTAAGCGCCACGTGTTTAACCAGGGACCTATATTAGTATATAGGTCCCTGGTTTAACATAGAGATCCCCTAATTATTCTAACTACTTTCTTGTTTAAATTTATGAGTATTCAATCTTTACACATGATTTTCTATAATCATGTGCGCGTGTGCTAAATAAATAGTAAATGAAACTTCTTTGAAATAAAACTCGGACTTAAAGCAAAATAAACCGGTATTATTTTCCGCTGTCGGTGTTCATTTTATTATGCAAGCACATAGAAATATTAAAATTTTCAGTAATCCCCATGTTCATTTTCAAATTATATGTTAATTTAACATTAAAGACATCTTTATTTGCACAACAAATACGTAACTTATCAAATTTTCAGGTGTGGATCGAGATTTATTAGACGGAAACTACTATTTATCATGATGTTTAACATTGGTTGGATAAATTTGGAAAAACCGGATTTCAAAAATACTTTATTTTTATAATTAATTGGTTGATATCAAAGAGAAATAAATTAGATATCAAATTTCTTAATAAAATATGCATAGAACACTTAATCTTTTTGAAAATTCCAAACAAAGTACGCAAATAATTTAATTAATTAAATGAACAAGAGGCGAATTTCAGTTTTATTGTCGACGGGGAATTTCAAGATACTTGAACCTACACATTTTGATTTGAAAAGGGTTTAAGAATAAAGAAATTTGAACATTAGATTACAATAAAACTCATAAAAAATAGCAAGTTTTTGAAAAAAAAGCGTCAGTGTCACTCAGGATTACCTCAGTAGCCACAGTATTAAACCTCAGAGCTACTCAGTACCAGCTCAGTGGCCTCAGAATGACCTCAGTACCCCTCAGTACTTCCAAAGTAGCAACAGTGCTAACCTCAGTGCTCCTCAGTAGCACAACAGAATGCACAGTGAAAACCTCAGTGCTACTCAGGATCTCCTCAGTTTCTCAGTACCGGGCTCAGTACCACTCAGTACTTCCTCAGGGTTTTGTTGGATTCTCAGTGCTTTTTAGTAACAGTAGTGATAGGTGGGACATTATTCCCACACAAGGGCATACATAAGCTCACATGGATATCACCCGGAGGAAGAGACAAAAATCAGATAGACCATATTGTTATAAATGGTAAATGGAGACGATCTCTTCAGGATGTGAGAGTAAGACGAGGTGCAGATGTAGGCAGCGATCAGCACCTTGTAACTGCTGATTTTAAACTTAAACTGATGAAAACTATACCCAAGTACAGCTGGAAAAGATTCGATATTGGCAAACGTAGTGATACAAAAACCAAGCAAGATTTTAGATTAGAGCTGAAAAACAGATTTTAGATCACAAAATTACCAGCTGAAATATTCAAAACAGACCCTATCCTTGCAGCAGATATCCTTCATCCCCTTTTCTGCAAGATATGGAAGTACAACATGATACCAGCAACATGGTCTGAAGGAAGCATCATCAAACTACCAAAGAAAGGAGACCTCACAAACTGTAACAACTGGAGAGGTATTACTTTACTCTCTATACCAAGCAAGATCTTTAGTAAAATAATTGTAAACAGAATAAAGACAGCAGTGGATAAAAAGCTAAGGAAAGAACAGGCAGGCTTCAGAAAAGGAAAGAGCTGCTGTGACCAAGTATTTGTACTAAAAAACATAATAGAACAGTGCACAGAGTGGCAAAGACAACTCATCATAAACTTCATTGACTTTGAAAAAGCTTTTGATAGCATTCACAGAGACGGTCTGTGGAAAATCCTGAGGCACTACGGTATACCATCTAAACTAGTTGACCTAATAAAAGCATTTTATGCAGAATTTAAATGCTCCATTGGTAGATCATCAAACACAAGCTTTCTTGTTAAGTCAGGAGTGAGACAAGGATGTGTGATGTCAGCTCTATTGTTCATCATAGCAGAAGACTGGGTAATGAGATCAACCCTTAGTGATGAGAATACGGGCATCAGATGAACTCTTTTCAACAAACTAGAGGACTTAGATTATGCAGATGACCTGGCTTTATTATCTCATCTGGAAACACAAATGAAAAGAAAAATATCTAATTTACAAATTAATACCAGCAAAATCGGATTTAACATCAACATAAAGAAAACAGAAGTAATGTCCCTAAATACAAAAGGCCCACCCAAAATACAGTTGAATGGAGGAGATATCAAAAATACAGATTATTTTACATACCTTGGAAGTGTGGTAACATCAGATGGCGGAGCTGACAAGGACATAATATCAAGATTAGGTAAAGCCAGAGGAGCCTTTTTCAAGCTTAAGAACATATGGAAGTCAAGCAGCATTAGCAGACATACTACATGTAAGATCAAACTGTATAATAGCTGTGTCCTATCTGTCCTAATATATGGTGCTGAATGCTGGAGGATGACTGAAAGTGACATTAAGAAACTATCAAGTTTTCATAATGGGTGCCTCAGAACGATCTTGAGGATATTTTGGCCAGCAAAAATAACCAACAAAAAGCGCATGAAACAACCAAAACAACAGACATGAGGACTAAAATACTAGTAAAATACAGATGGAGGTGGATAGGCCATGTCTTGAGAAAACCCACAGATGACATCACAAGAGTGGCACTCAGATGGACCCCAGAAGGGAAGAGGAGGAAAGGCCGTCCAAAAACAACGTGGAGGCGAACTGTAGAGAAAGAGCTAAAGGAGATAAATCTTACCTGGGGAGGCAGAGAATATAGTTAAGAACAGAGAGGAATGGAAATCCCTAGTCCTTGCCCTATGTGCCTCCAGGTGCAACAAGGACTAGGTAGGTATATGATTAATCCCCCGATATTACGTCCCCATGAATCAACAACACCCTGCATGTCCAGGCACATCGATTCTTATGAAATAAAAGGCTTCCACAGTATATAAATTTGAAATAGCTACGAGAAAAATATTAGGTCAAGATACTGTACGGTATATATACGATTCGTGTTTTTTTCTATCGCCGAGTCGGCAATATTTAAGCCATATTTCGGCGGGGGTATATATACGAAATATATATATACAAAATATTTTATATACAAATTAAGAAATGTGATACAAAAAGACACGTTTCTGTTTTTCTTATTGTTAAATATTTCTGTTCAAAAAACAGTCAAAACTGTTTAAGTTATCATGTCAAAATCTGCATTTATCTATATACATGTATTGATGTCTTTAGTAGAAAGAAAATAATACACATACTGCCTATATATGTCTTTTCTTCAATTTCTGTTGTAATCAGTTCTGTTTCTAAGTCTTTTCTATGTATGAATGGGTCAAAGTCGTGGGGAACTGTAAACGGTTCCTCTCCATATTTCTGTTGATGCAGCTTGAGGGATTCATCAAGGAAATCACTTCCTGTCTTCTTTTCCTCTGCAGCAGTCGCTGTGCGTAAAGTAAATTGATCATAATTACACTTAATGCAACAAGGAAAGTGTTTTTGATGTTTGAACTGGGTTTATGCACAATACATAGTGCAGGTGATTAAGGTACAGTATATTGCTGCATAAGTAAGGGAAGTTGATGATAGAAAAGTGAAAGTCATCACGTTTATCATTTAGCTTTGTTGTTAGATTACCATTAACGTCTTTTACAAGTAAAAGATTAAGTCATATGGTTATTATTTTGTATTAATATAGAAAAAATCAATCATGTTAAAACACAATAAAATTTACTGACCGGTCAGAAGGTCTCCATATATGCAACTGTATATGTTTACTCTACTGTCGTCGGCTGACCCCACCCACAGTAAGTGCGTGTCAGCATCATAACTCAGGCTTCTTGGATAGTTTATCCCGTGTGATGATATCTGTATCTGAGACAGGAATTCACCATTCCTGTCTAATATCTGTACTGATTCGGTAATATAATCGCACAGCAGGATGTGTGACAGCGCGTCAGTACAAATTCCTAGTGGACATAGCTCTGCTCCTGATGGATGTCCTTTGTAGGAAAACCGATGTTTACCACCACGATCTGTCACCACTACACAGCCCCAGTCAGACACAATTACATCTCCATTACGGTTCTCTGTGATGTAGATAGGATCACTATATAATCTCTTACCCGTAATGTTGTCGTGCTGTATGGTCTGGATGCTTTCCCCTGTGATGTTATACCGGACTACCTTTGCTTCTATATAAATGTTTGTATCTGTATCACACATTACGACCAGCAGGTCTCTAGTGGAGGGAGAGCTGTAGACACATAGAGGTTTCCATGCTTCAGTATATTTTATTAATGTAGTCTCAAGTTTGTTATCTGTAGACAGTTTATTAATGTTATACTCACTGTCTATACAAATTAAATCACCCTCAGTGCTCACAGTGTGTCCTCCCCATACGTCACTAAGTATATCTGTCTGATGATGTAGTTCATCTCCTGATGTGTTAGTTAAGATGAGATTGTAACCATCACTGATCCAGAACCGGTCTGACGTCACGTAGGAAATATGCCATACACTACTAACACCTGGTACTCTGATAGATTTCCGTAACTCTAATCTATACATCACTGACTGCAGACATTCATTTCGAACTCGTCTTTTTTTATGTTGATCCACTTACAGAATCCTGCGTGGGGTTCCCCAAGCATTAAAAGATTTAGAGAGACAGTAGTTCTTCAAATCATAACCTGACTCTCTTTGAATTTAATTTAATTATGTGTCAAGTTAATTCTCATGTATATCTAATATTTTGTATGTTAACTTTTTTAAATGTCATATGTTTTTTCTCTGTTTTCACTTTGTACAGAGGATTCAGAAAAGTAACAACTCTTTAAACTGGAGACAAACCTCAAGTGTGCTGATTTTTTAATCAAGGCAATGCGGACGACGACAAAGTTTATGGAATGGGATCTGTAAAATAAATTTTAAAAAAAATACTACATTGAAACTTGCATTAAAGTTAATCATTATAATAATCAATAATGAAATATAGTTATGTTTCTATGTTAATAATTTACCAAAATCTCTTATGAAAATGTAACTCTACCTGTTTGTATTCAAGGGAGGCAACTGGGGTTTTATTGCTTAAAAACTACCACAGAAAAACTTTAAACTTATACCAAATATTCTAGTACATTACATTAACTTCAGCATGCATGTGCCACCCCTAGGGGTCATAATATGAATAATTTGGAATCTATTACCTCAGGACGCATCCACATAACTTTTAACTTTTCTGGTCGAGTGAAGTAGATTTTTAAAAAAAACATTTTTTTCTTATATATTTTAAAGTAAAACTAAGATTCCCTATTCTGGTCCCATCCTACCCCAGGGGTCATGATTTGAGCCATTCAATTAGAATCTACACTTTCCCATGATACATGTACTTCCACAGGTTGTGGCTTTACTGGTGGTGGGTCTTGAAAAGAAGATTTTTCTTTAAGGAATGAAACTAATTTCACTTATGTTATACGATATAACATAACTTGGGGTAGTGGGCGACGCGGTTTATAAAAAAGCGTAAACTGCCTTAAGTTTTGTTATATCGTATAACATAAGTTGAAATTAGCTTCATTCCTTATAATTTAATTTCAGTATAGACAATAAGACATTTTTTCGGTAATTTATGACGGAACTGTTTTCTAGTACTCATTGAAACATAATACATCAACAAACATCTTTGGCACAAGGAAATAAGAATACCCTATAAATCTTACATTAATGATGTGCACTGAAAGAAAACAGAAAAGCATGGGAGCATAATATGCGAAAATATTTTGACTGTGTCGCCGAAAACTATGAAAATTGGATAGATTTGTATTTGGGTTACTTTATTACTTTTGAAAAGATTTTTCCCATATACCAGTAGTTTTTGATTCCCTACTGTAGTCCCACCCTATCCCCAGGGTTCTTGATTTGAACAATTTAGAATCTACACTTCTCAAGGATGCTTTTAGTTAAGTTTCAACTTTCCGGCCAAGTAGTTTCAATTTTTTCCTCACATATTTCTATGTAAAACATTGATTCACTTTAGTGACACCCTCCAAACTCCAGGGATCAATATTAGAACATTTTCAAATCTACACTATTATAGAATACTTCTACGTAATTTTCAGCTTTTGTGGCTCATTGGTTCTTGAGAAGAGGATTTTTAATTCTTTTTCCTATATATTTCGATATGAAACTTTGATTCCCTTTTGTGGCTCTGCCCAACCCCCTGGGGTCATGATTTGAACAATGTAGAATCTACATAAATTTCAGCTTTTTTGGTCAAGTGGTTCTTGAGAAGAAGATTTTTAAAGAATTTTCTCCATAAATTTCATTGTAAAACTTTGATTCATTTTGTGGCCCCACACAAACCCCAGGGACTATGATTTGAACATTTAGAATCTCAACTTCCCCAGGATGCTTCCATAAAATTTCATTTTTTCTGGCCTAGTGGTTCTTAAGAAGATTTTGAATGACCCACCCTATTTAAGTCTTTTCCTGCCCCCCCCCCCCCCCCCCCCCGTGAAGGAGACTTGGCCCATTTTAACAATTTAAATTCCACTTTATCTAAGGATTTGTACTAAGTTTGGTTAAAATTGACCCAGTGGTTCTTGAGAAGAGGTCGGAAATGTGAATAGTTTTCTGAAGGACGCTTGGATGACGAAATTCATACAATGTGATCAGAGAAGCTCATTTGAGCCTTTGGCTCAGGTGAGCTACAATTAAGTAAAAAGACTGCATCAAAATTTTTGGTCTACTTATATTCATTTCTGGTTATTTGAGACCATGGTAACTTATTCAAACTCTTCTCCGCGAGCATTCAATAGGGAGGAAGAAGGAAATCTTTGGGGCATGCTATAATTAATATTAACTTTCATTTTTCTTCATAAAAATTCCCCATGGGGATCCGGGTTAGAATAGGTCCTCAGTACCCCTTTGCTTGTCGTAAAAGGCGACTAAATGGGGCGGTCCTTCGGATGAGACCGTATAAACCGAGGCCCCGTGTCACAGCAGGTGTGACACGATAAAGATCCTTCCCTGCTCAAAGGCCATAAGTGCCGAGCATAGGCCTAAATTTGCAGTCCTTCACCGGCAATGGTGACGTCTCCATATCAGTGAAATATTCTGGAGAGGGACGTTAAACAATATACAATCAATCAATCAATCTTCATAAAAATAGATTTTTTGGTTTTTGAAAACCTGTAATTTTCTGAAACCTTATACTTTTGGGAATTGAACCATATTTATACACCGGTCATCGAAAAATTCTACTGTACGTTTGTCAATTTTCCCCTTTGTGCGTCACGGTGTCTTTTTTTTCTCAAAATAATTTTCTCACATGATTGCATGAACAGTGTTTTAAAAACGTCAACTTTGAAAGTTAATATATCTTCGTTTGCTTATATAGAATATAAAATCTGACAAATACGATCATCTCTACCGAAGCCTTTTATTTTGGTTAGTATTTCTTTTCACAGATAGTTTTTGTAGACCCATCATTTTTCCTGAAAAATGCTTTTTTGTGTGTTTGCACAACTTTTTTCGGAGTATGTTTTCTGAGGTATGTATTTTTGGAGCTCGTCTAGACTGTTGGCTCGAGAATAAAACATTGTTAACTGATCAATACCTAATAATATTTTAATCAGAAACTTTGATAAGTCAACAATTTTCTGACAAGTTGATTCAGCAGATTGTCAGAAAATACAGTTTTTCGTTGGATCTCTTGTCAACTTGCCTGATATGTTATTTTTAATATTAATGACGACTTGTCAGAACGCAATTTGAATTTTAAACATGTACATAAATGACAAATCGAAAAAAGATCTAAAAATCAACAAATATGTTTATGAGACAAGTCGACAAAGGACAAGATAGGGTAACGGCCGAATCTGGCCCCTTATTTGATGTAAAAATCAGAACACTGATAAAATTGTGATAGTTTGTAGTTAAGAAGTTAAAATGATGCTTACTATATAAAACAAGTATTAATTTAGATTCAAAGCTTACATGGAAGCCACTAGAAGGTGCAGAAGTAGGACATTTTCCAGAATTTCCCCAATTTTGGTGGAATTGTATCATAATTGAGATACATTTCTGTTTGGAAAACATAGAGCACAAGCTTGCCTCTCTGAGATGCAGTATTTGTGTATTTGTGTGTCCTTTATCTAACAAGTGGTGACAGAAATATGCCACCAGTCTAAAATTGACCGAGTGGAATAGAATTTATCGAAAAGGAAAGTTGATTTCTTTATTTAAGTTTTACAAATTTATTTTATGAAATCTAAATAAAAATTTACTACCATCAAATAATACTACTTTTTGGTGCCTTCTTAGTATTTATTTATCATAGGTAAAGTCGCTGACTAATTGTTATAATTATACGTACCAGATATACGTACTTCCGACTTCCCTCTGGACTTTAACAAGGAGTTCTGACTTTTACAGTTGACTGCTTACCTTTACACAAGGACAATGTACGGCAGCTCTTTTACGATATGAATATTTAACTCAACATTTAATTCAACGAAACTGACGCATTATTTCAATGCATATATACAATGTAAGTTGTCCTCAAAGAAAACGACAATCACTCTACCCTCAACTCCCGGTCTTCAAATGTCAGTGCCTCTAACAATATACCCATGACCATTAGAATAGGTTTTCTTATCTATTATCAATTCTGTACCTCCGTACATGACACAAGTTTAAAGTGTCCAAGTAAACCGTCAACTGTTCAAGTCAGTGCTTCTTGCAAACGTCCAATACTAGATTTACGCAGTATAAAATATGATAGCATGTAAGTTGAATAAACTTCCATTTTGTCTTCACTTTTCTTAACATTAATAACAACATAAACACTTCAACTTTTTACATTTAGTACGTTTTTAACTTTTTTATGAAAACAAAGTCAAAAACAAACAAACTTTAAGGTTGCAACCACTATGGACATACGATCACTGTTGAAAGAATTATTTCAGTTGGGGTTGAGTGCATTTCAATACCCAACATAAGTTGCAACCACTATTGTAATACTAGTAATTTCAACTCCAAAACCACATTTCAAGCTATATAGAGGTTTCCCAACTATTAAAACAAATATAAGGATTAGATATTCTGTTTTCTTACACATGAAATTAAATTATTGAGTTTAAAATATGATAACTAAAATTGTTTTATGTTTTCCGTTTTTGTAGTAATTTCAAATACACAGACACTTTCTATTATATCGACCTACCTATCATTCAAACATGTATGCAAATGTTTAAGTAAGCTCCCGCTGAATCTGGCCGAATCGGCAAAGAGCTACAGACAACCAACTACATGTACATGTAATAATATGCTTGAAATCATTTTCTTATATCAAATTCATTTTTTTCATTGATTTTGAAAGTAAAGGATCATAAATACATCTAGCTGTAGAAATTAGCCGGAATATCTAGACAACATTGAAAAAAAGAAAGATGAATGATAATTATGTGTACTAACTTTCTACAGAAAATATAGTTACTTTAAATAAAAAAGAATATATAATAGAACTAAATTTTAGCTGATATTCATGGAATTACCTAAACTACAAA